CAAGCACGCATTAGCTGTGGACGGACCGGCCGCCCGAACATATTTGTCGATATCGAAAGTATCGTGAACCAAATGACTGCTAGCGAAAAAAGGACTGCCTCTCGTATCCATGAAAACATGTGTTCTACAAAAGTACATAATTGCTTAGTTGTCGCCAGTCACTCATTGCACCATGGCGTCAGTGTGGGGCCGCGCCCCGCATCATCTCAATCGCCAGGCAAAGCATCTCAATCGACAGGCACATGGTAGTCCAGCTACGAATCCGAGCCGCGGCATCCCGTCTATGTATCTACATTACACCACAATCGAACACTGTCTGGCCACCCGAGACAGCAGTCTCCAATGTAACATCAAAACACGCTACTCGTCTAATATCAGAAAAATGAGCATTGAGTACCTACCGAATATCGACTACAGAAGATTACAATGGGGTGCAGATCTAGCAAGAGTGTCGCGGTTCGTCTCGGCACGGCTTACAGGCCGCCGAGCCCGCGCAGGTGACCGCCAGCTCCACCTGTTCCACCTCCGGCGCGGAAGCTCGATCACAAGACTGACCTCAGTCGGCGCTCTGTGCTCGGCACAGGGCGACCGGGTCAGGAGCGGGCCGCTGCCGCCAGGGCCGCGGCCACCAGCCACGCGGCAGCGCCCGCGCACCGGCCGCCACCACCCGCTCAGCCCAGATGCGCGCCACGGCGTCATTGGGGCTTCCCTGAGCAGGATCGAACCAGAGCTGCATGCACGGCTCCGTATCCGCCGTGAACTTCCACGAGTGATCCCACACCTGAAAAAGGCGCACGGTTTGCGTCACAGCTCGGCTCACTTTCACAGTCCACGCACCGGCAGCAATTAAGGGCTACTTAGATAGTGTGCTAATAGAGCGCAATCACTTAGCTTAATCCATATAGAGTCAACCATGAATTGTTAATTACGAGCGAGCGAGCGAAGCGAAGTCTTTTCAATATCACGGAAAAAGCTCAGTATGAGCGGCCCGACCCGGCCCGGCCTGTAACGCTTTTGAGAGGCTTATATCTCAGCAACCGCTGGACCGATTGGCCTGCGGTCTTTTCTTTTTGTTGGGTAGCCCTATTCCCTCTACCCCGTAATTGACTACTCTTGATACATTACAGGGACCGTCGTGGCACGTGCCACGTGAAAAGTCAAGGGTGTTATTTGTCAAAAGTTGCAAAAGAAGTGATTTTGAGAGGCTCATATCTCAGCAGCCGCTTGGGCGGTCTTGCGGTAAATTTCGTAGGGTAGCTGCACCCCTTCAACCAAAGGTCGGATGCTCTTGATCTATGTGAGTGACCCCCACTGCACGTGCAAAATGCAAAAAGAAGAGGTGCCGAATTTGTTCCCATTTCAATAACTCTGTAATTACTGGGGCGATTTAGCTGAAACTTGGCATACAGGTAGGCAGTAGGCAGGCACCCACCAGGCTATGCATTCCCATATGTTGCGGTTAGGGTGCTACTGCTTAGTGTATTATGTGTAAAATAAAGGACGCTTAAATCTTACCTGAGTGATGTCCATTTCTTGATCACTTTCATCTGTGGGTGACCGAGCAGCGACAGCAACCCAAGGCGTATACGGAATCTGTAAAAAATCAGCACACCGTTACCACATGTTTTAATAAAACTTACCTATAGGGAGGTAGCATAAAATACAGATCAAAACAATAACATACAAACATACAAATATTCGGTTAGGTTGAAATGGCTAAAAAGTATAAAAAATAAGGGCAAGGTACTAGGGCTGTAAAGCTGTAAGGGCTCGGTACTAGTAATAATTTTTGGCTAAAAATATCACAAATAAAGACTCTGCATTAAAGCTGTAATGTCTGGTACTAGGAATAACTTTAGAGTGAAGTGTTACAAAAACAATATTCAAAGTCTTTTGATAACTTTTTTTTAAACAACATAGCAGGCATTTTCATCACTTTTAAAAAATAACTTACATTCTGATCCGGCACAGCACTGTTCTTTAGACGCAAACGTTTTTGACTGTGCTTATCATGGTGCGCACTTCTTGTTAAGTTTAAGTGGTCATGTGGTCTTGGCTCATTGGTCATGCCACACCCTCATCCACTTTTCTCTGTACTTCTTTTTTTTAGCGGGAACCTAAAAGTAAAAAAGGGTCAACACATGCTTAGTCCATGCAACACATACTCTGTATTAAGCTGAATAGCTCCACTGAGCCCAGTTTCACCAAGTGCGGTAAACTTAATTTTGGGGTAGTTTTTGTAGTTAAGTAGTGGGGTAGTTTGGTAGTTTACCCCAAATTGAGTTTACCGCACTTGGTGAAACTGGGCTCTGGTGAGTTTCCTTTTCTTGTCAGCACATAAGTGAAAGAAAACTGTGTAGACAAGAGATGAACCAAACCCCCATGGAAAGGTAGGTGTTGCCACAACCAGGAAATGGGATTTGAAGGGCTGGATAAATGTGTCTGAGTTCTGCCTTTCAGCCAGACTGGAAAACATCCATACACTACGCCGGACGCCCGTGAGCCCCTCATGCGCCAAAATTTGAAGCAAGCAATTTTGAGCTGAAATTCCAGCGCATGATTTCCACTGAAAGTTGGGTGCCTGTTTGCACCAAAATTAAGCCACTTTTACATAAAGCACATGTGCATATCTACCGACCAAGGCTATATCAACCAGACAGATCGTTCCGGGGCCTCGGAGTCAGACGCTCTTCCCTTTCTGAGCATCTGAATTAGTTAATGTTCCCATGAAAACCCAATACCACAATATGTGTGGCACACTGTAGAATCTTAAGGTGAAACAAGGCCCAGGCCGGAAGTTCCGACTCTCTTCAGACCTGCCAGCGCCCGCAGGGCAAGTCTGCTGCTAGATTGACCACAGCGTGTCAAAAAATTCGGTGACAGCCATTTGCATAAACATTATGCGCCATGCGGTCACCCTGCGCCTAAAAATTCAGCTGCCACCATGCGCTGAATTTGACGCATGCAAAATTATGCTGGATGTGATATGAAATTTTCGGGGCAACGCCGCAATCACGCCACTTCGCATGACATATTCGGCATAACTTGTGTTTTTTTTATCCAGTCTGGCATTTCAGTTGTGAAAGCCTGAACAGTTCAAAAGGGTTTGCTAATCCAGGGGAGAGTTCTGTGAAAACAAAAGTAATAGAAGAGCCATTTCAATAAATAAGAATTTAGGTACCTACCTAGGTACCTACTTACTTGTGCACAGTCACACGCATCAGTCCCGACCCGACGTAGGTCGTTTACTCCGCGGATCACGCACTTCTTCATCGTTATTATAGGTATTTTTTTCGAACAAAAATGCCCTGATTTCGGATCAGAGCCACGGTATAAAATATGGTATACTGCCTTGCGATAAAAATACATTTTTTAGCAATTGGCTACCAAACGAGATGTCATCTGTTCAGGGCATAGCATAGGTTTACTTTCATAGACCTCATGAAAGTAGCTCATGAAACTCATTACCAATCAGCGCGACGGATTTCAAGATTCGATTGCGGATGTTCATCCGCCGGCCGATTGCCAGAACAGACAACGAAAAATAACGCAACTGCTCGTGGTCTGCTCGCTAGTACAGGGATCCGTGCCTGATCAGTACTGCTGCAAGCTGATTGGTTAAAAACCAAAGCCTCGCCGCGGGTGGCTGTATTGTCGGATAAGAACGCATTCCTGGGATAAGAACGCATTCCTGGCATATTTTCTTTTAAAATTGCCGATAACTACGAATGGAGGCCGAAATCGGCCGTAAGGGGGTAGACAAGTTGGTTTTCGGACACGGGCTACAAGATGGCTATCTCAGTTTCAATCCCCATGTTAAAGGTGGCCCTTTTCCTTTAAGAGCCCCTTGTCGGTCTCTGAGAGCCCCTGTCGGCCTGTAAAGGGTTCGAGCCAGCAGCTCTAAGGGTCCCACACCCAACTGTGACAACCCCACACTGCAGTGTCTCTGAGGTCCCACAACGGCAACTGTGAGGACCCTCACCGGCGACTCTGAGGGCCCACAGCGGCACCTCTGGAGCCCCGCACCAATGCCTCTGAGAGCATCACACCGGTACCTTTGAGGGCCCACACCAGTGCCTCCAATGGCTTCATAACCGGCGGCCCTGAGGGCCCTACACGGGTGATTTTGAGGGGCGTACCGAAGGCACCACACAATCCCTTAGTCTCGCTGAGCTTCTATCCCAATCCCATACCGGCTTCTATCCCAATTCCGGCTCAACTCATTATCAGCCCCCCCCCCCTCCATGGGTCTCCATATCTATGTTTATTCTCTAAACGTAGGTACATTTAGGTGCATCAAGGGAGGTCAAACACGCCCAACGACGTTCAGGAAAACGAATGACTAACAGCAATATCAATGTCATTAAATCGCCGGTCCGTCCTTTGAATGCGGAAAAAGAACGCGCTATGACTGGGCGAATTTCGAGACTGGCCAAAAGCAATCACAGCCCGCTCCCAATATCCCGCTTGCTGTCCCTCCACCGGCACATTACACAATGACACGTGTATCTCACCTGCATTATATGCTATTTCGCTTGCAATGTGGTATGTGCCCTTTCCGATCGAAGCATGTGCCCTATGCCACCTTTGGGACGCAGTAAAAAATCCTTAAAATATGCCCTGCCCGACGCCGATTACCATAAACGGACAAGCCAGATACAGATAGGGGTGCAAGTGTTTGATATTTGGCTCGATATAGGTACCTACATAGAGTCATAGTCGTGCGTAATCGTGCCCGTGCGAAATCATGCGATCCGATACGAGCCTCCTCTCCGAGGAGCAATGCCTGCGTGATGGGGCCAGCAGACGGGAAAGAACCGTCTTGTTAAGAATCGTATAAATAAATGTCTCCTTCACATTCCGTTACTAAGCATCCTTTCGACATATGGGATCTTGTGTGGACATCTGACTCAACCCCCCCCCCCCCCCCGCTGCACACCGGCGCACGCGGCCGCCGCCCCCGCCGCCGCCCCCGCCCTCGGGGGACGATCGACCGCGGCGGCGCGTCCACCGGTAGAGCTGCGCGTCGGCTCAGAGCGCGTCCGGGCCTCGTCCGCGGAGGTGCATCCGCCCGCCTTCCGTCCTTGGAGCGAGCTGGACCGGTGCCAGTGGCCGCCGGCCGGTGTGTTGTGCTCAGGGAGGGACGCCGCTCTCGTGTGGTGCCCGATCTCGAGAAGTACGGCTCCAGTGGCGTGGTATAGCCCGACTCGTGAACCGAGTGTCGATACGGTGGCAGTATGACGTCGACAGCGATGGAGAAGGCTCCCGAGCCGCCGTCGGTGTCGGACGCCGGCGACGAGCCGCACCGGGCGCTGCTCAACCACGTGGACATCGTGGTGGTAGTGGTGTACTTCCTCATGGTGATGGCCACCGGCATCTACGTGAGTACCGCGTGCCGGCCTTCTGAGAAGCCGCCACAGGCCCATGCAGGTGATGGGTTCGGGCACGGTCCGCGCCGGGTACGATGTGCGCAATTATTCTCTCCTCCTGCTCAGTCAGGTTTGTGCGTGACTGCGTGATGACTGTTTGCGTACTGTGCTTTACACTGCGTACGACGTGCCAACGCTGCTTTGCATAAGAGGTTGGACGTTGGCATGGACGCACTGCACTGGAATACAGATTGACTCGAAGCGACCGTCGCGAGCTTCGGACCGCTGAACTCGACTACATTGTCCAGCGATCTATGTTGTCGTGGGCTATCAAGCTAACGAGAAAAGACACAATAGGCATGGTAGGTATGACGTTCTCTCATAGATTCACTATAAGAATAATATTAATTATTTTACTACTTTAACCCGCGCCGGGCCGGTGCTCTGAGATTCCGCGCCGGGCCGGGGGGGGGGGGGTGTCTGAACACCCCCCCCCCTTCTAACTCGGCTCCTGGGCCACGTAGCGACACGCGGTAAGCGGCAATCGAAAGAACGTCAAAAATAAGGACGAAAACACTTCGGTCATTTTTTGGGTCAGGTCAAAGGTCAGGTCACCAGAGGTCACCAAAGGTCAAATGTCCACTATTTCAACATTTTGGAAACTGCCAACGGCTATCTCGGGAACCGATAGAGCTACAGCGCCGCTGAAAAGCGCATTCGATAGCCCTTTTACAGACCTTTCTGAGTAATGTTCTCAGATTTGACCTCAGGTCAACGGTTTAGCCTCCAGGGGGCAAAAACTCCAAAATAGCCGTTTTTACGAAAAACGTTTTTTCGGCAATAACTTTTGACTCAAAAGAGTCATGACATTACTTTTGCCACCATCGTGTTCCTCTAGTCGAGACGCGTCGAATGAACTATAATTTGACCTTGAAAGGTCAACTTGAAAATTTGACCTCAGGTCAAGGTCATGACCTGACCGGAAAAGGTCATGTTGCATATCAGTCGATCCGCAACGTCGAGCCGAACACATCTAAGGCGTTTTCAGCGCTCTAGCACGTCTCTATCAGAAGTTATTAGCGAAAAACTGTTAGATTCTGTTCGTGACCTGAGATGACCTCGGGGACATAACGAGGGGTCACAGTTGCCATTTTCCGGTTCAGTGAGTCCATTTTACCTACATCTCGATGTTTGAGAGTGTCTAGAATAACGTTCGTGCAAAACAGACGCTTTTCAATTTTCTCCCATTGACTTATAATGGAGAGGTCGCAAAATTGACCTGACCTTAGGTCACCGATATCAAAATTCCGAGATATACATTTTATAGATAATGTTGCTCTAATCAATCGATGAAAGTTTCAAGGCAATCGATCAATCCGTATAGCTATGACGAGCATTCTTATTTTTTCTGAGCTGAGGTCACTTGGCGTGACCTGGTGACCTGACCTAAGGTGACCTGGGTCTGAAATTTTCACAACATGTGCGGAAAAGATGCACAAACAGGTGTGCCAAAAACGGCGGCGCTCCGCGCCGCCGTTTTTGAGATATCTGCGAAAAACCGCAGGGGGGGGGGGTGTTCAAACACCTCCCCCCCGGCCCGGCGCGGGTTAAATACTCTCACCGTCTCGACTCTCGACTATTTGCACTTTTTTACCGGTAGGACCCCCATTACAACCTTTGGCTCCCAATCGGCACACGCATCAGCAGCCAACTTATTCACCGAGTGGCTTAGTTAGCTTATGTGCTGAGGACCGAGTTTATAATCTTGCCCGGGTAATAATTGCCTTGTCGACTGCATCCGTACGGTCGCTATATGGCATACTGCCGTTCAACAGGTGAGGTTATCACAGTCGACCAAAGTCAGGTTATAGGTAGGCAACTAGTTATATTTTAAGTGATAATAAGTCAAAGCCTAGCCAATGTAAAATGTCTCCTTTGTGTCGCATGTAATTTTAATATCACCGTCCTTGCAATGGTCTGTGGGTAAACGACGGAACGGACGAAACCGTACGACGCGATCGATGCTAGCTGGTGCAAGAATCATCGATGTGCCGGCATCGAATTGAGCCGCGGTGCCGCTCTGATCAACCCCACCGTGATGTGTCAGGGCACGTCAACGATTTTTTTTATAACTACGACACGTCGTAGTGCACTGTTGAGACTGCTGATGTCTGTCAGAAGACCTGCCATGTAGATTTTCTTGGATCAATATGGGTGTAATTAAAACCCGTAGTTCCGTACTCTTTCCAAGACATTTCTGTCAGTTTATTTTTGTAGTTACGGAGCGAGCGAAGCGAGCGGAGTCTTACGTAGAATAACGGAAATTTCTGAGTATGAGCGGCCGGCCGGCCGGCCGGCCGTGCGGACGCTTTTGCGAGGCTTATATCTCAGCAACCACTTGACCGATTTACATGCGGTAATTTTTGTAGGGTAGCTTCATTCCTTCTACCAAGTATTGGACTATTCCCGATGCATGTGGGTGACCCCTTATGCACGTGCCACGTGCAAAACGAAGAGGTGTCACTTTTGTAATTGTTGCAATATTTCGGTAACTACTTGGCCGATTGCGCTGAAAGTTGGCATGTAGGTAGGCACCCACTAGGCACTGCATATCCATGTGCCAGAGTTGGGGTGCCGCTGCACGTGCGCACGTGCAGGGGTCGTTTCCAGATCTCGAGAACGGCTCGACCGATTGCGCTCAAATTTGGTACACAGTTAGGGACCGGTTACTAGGGTGCCGTGCACAAGTCAGTTGGGACCCATTTTGCACGTGCGCACGTGCAGGGTGCCGCTTCCAGATCTCGAGAACGGCTGGGCCGATTGTGCCCAAATTTGGCACATCGCTAGAGACCAGTCAGTAGGGTGCCCTGCACAAGTCAGTTGGAGGTACCCCCTCGAAATTTCGCACGTGCAAGACTCACCCCCTCGCTCGCTCCGTTAGTCGCCCCAAAAGGCGCTATACTGGTTTTATACGTGAGCATAAATACCTATAGTACCTAAGTAGGTAGCGTTAGTATTCAGACATTGGCAAAAAGCGGCATATAGTGCACACTGTCAACTCTGCAGCGTGTACCGTCCGTCTACCTTGTTTTTAGGGCCTTTGTCTATCTATGTCCATGTCGGACAATCGCGTGTTCATCTCGGCCTTCCTTATTTGATGGATGTTTTAGTTTTAAGTTTAGACTCGTTTTATAGAGCCCATCTTGGAGCGCATCTAAACTATTTAGTACCTATTTCGGCACTTTTTTTTCGTCCAATCAACCCCAGCTACTGACCGACCCAAGATACCTAGACACACACGAACGACCGTCCTCTAACCTCTACTGGCCGATAAGTATTTCGGGTATATATGACTGTCGCCTCAGTTATGATCTTCTCACCAACAGTAGCGGCGGAACACCTTCAATTAAAGGGGCAGTGCCAAATTTTGGTCCCATTCTTTCCATGCACGCCCATGGGGCCAAAATAAAAAATGCTTAAATCAAAGGGGGCACGGTGCCCCGGTGCCCTCCCCGTTCCGCCGCCTATGCTCACCAAAAACGTTATTTTCTCTTGATTGGCTTTGATATTGACGTAGCTCATTGATGCGTGTTCGCCAGCCGATTCCGGCATCGTGTTCCGAGCACCTACCGTACAGGCATCTAGCAAGAAAATCTGGAACCCCGATAACCGTTTTAAGCGTTCGGCTTGGTCTCATCCGTCATGGCTGAATGACTAGTGGCTCATAGTAACCGTTTCGTCCTTAGGTCCCGTATCTCACGACTTCCTACTTTGGGCGGCCGGGCTCCGATTTCTGTTTGAATAATACCTGACCAGTATGTCAGTATACCTATTACCTATACCTACCTGACATACCCCTACAGCTACACCTCCTCTCGTTCCGCACCTGACTGACTGTTCGTATTGTGTTCGCAGTCAATGTGCCGGCCGAACCGGGGCACAGTCAGCGGCTTCTTTCTCGCCGGCCGGGGAATGAGCTGGCTTCCCGTGAGTAGCCGAGCTCTCAGAGCTCTCTCAGCTCTCTCTCTCTCTCTCTCTCTCTCTCTCTCTCTCTCTCTCTCTCTCTCTCTCTCTCTCTCTCTCTCTCTCTCTCTCTCTCTCTCTCTCTCGCTCTCTCTCTCCCTCTCTCTCTCTCCCTCTCTCTCTCTCCCTCTCTCTCTCTCTCTCCTCCCTTCTTCTCTCTTCTCTTCCTCCCACGTCTTTTTTCAGTCTCATCTTTCCTTCTTTCTCTGTCTCCTTGTTTTGGTAACATTTAAACGTTTTAATAACGTTTAGTAACGTTTACCGTTTTATTACTGAAAATTAAACTGGACCTTTTATTATCATCGGGCTGCTTTTGTTATGATCTACCTATTTGTTTAAAAATGCAATGATGTTATGAATAAACGTAATAATGAACCCGATTGCCAAACCTTTCTGTGTGGTGTCCAGCAGCTGAAGTATCGTTTGAACTTCAATTCGCTGCCAATGCCGTGCATTCCTTCGTTGAAAACTTGGCTCCTCCCGCTGTTATCTGTTTGGATCACAGAGTCCCAGACAAATACACGTCTACCGACGCGTATTTTGATGTTTAAATTGTCTTTCTTCTTGGAAACTCAGACGTAAGCACGAGTAGTGTGGCCTGCTTACAACGTATTGCTCTACAGCCTCGTTGTTATGTTTTGCTCTGTGTCGTGTCCATGACGAGCTGTGTGTCTGTCAGGTGGGAGCGTCGCTGTTCGCCAGTAACATCGGCTCGGAGCACTTCATCGGCCTTGCCGGGTCAGGGGCTGCGGCCGGCATCGGCGTCGGCGCCTTCGAGTTCAATGTAAGGACGGCGCGTCTCGGCGGGCCACCTATTATCGCAGCTGTTTGATGTTTTGGCGAACGTCTTTCGTGCCAGTTGTTTACGCATGGAAACGTGTTGTGTTGATGCGGAGTCCATTGTTAGGAAAATGGTCACCGGCAAATGGACTATTTATTACTTATAGGCTGGCCGCACAAGTCGACAACCTCGTTTCGTTTGTTACGGTTAAAACGGTGACCGTCACCACTGTATCATACCAATCAAAATAGTACACCGTCGTATCACACCCCTTACGACAGTTTTATCGTCAGTCGTCACCTACGACACTGGTTCGTTTCATGGGACGAAACATGTGTATTGTTTATTTCACACTTTTTGTTTACAACGTATGTACCTACGAAATTGTAAGTTTTTGCATTTATTGTCATAATTGCATAATTAATTATATCAAGCAGTTCAAACACATTTATTCACGTATTCTTTATCTTGTCCTTATGTGTCGACCAACAGCAATGCTTCGGAACCTAAACTTTCATTTAACTTCCATTTGCGTTTCATTATGAGTGATCGCACGCTTACGAAAATTTGTAGGCCGCTGCTGCAAAATAACGACATGCTGTGGGCAAGATCATGAATTAACTCCTTATAGACATTTTAGTTTTAGATGCTCACATATGTCCGAGAGCTTGTTTTAACTAGAGTCATTGGCATGCTACTTGTTTGAGTCCTTATCGAATTAGAACCAATTACTTACCTATACACCCGCATCGGCGTACTCTGCTAAGTGCTAACAACAATCGTGTCCTTTTCAGGCGATTATTTTGATACAGCTGCTCGGCTGGATATTCCTGCCCGTATTTTTAGCCAGTAGGGTGAGTAATCACGTCGTCTGCTTATTGTGCACGGGTGCAGAGGGACTTGCATGCGCCTCCTACAGGCTACATTCATGAGATGTGACGATTCATGAGCGCCCTCCCCCTCCCATCCCCTCGCCTGTTGTATGCACCCTTTAGAGCCCACCTGATCCCGGCGTGGCTTTGACCTCTCTAAAGAAGCTCGAGTGGAAAATTCCACTGCTCGGTGCTGCCCGCCATGGGCTGCTGCCAGCCGATTCACTCTACGGGGTCGTGATACCTATTTTTGTCCGATTTCGCTCAGGGAGTGAGTCGCCCGCCTAAGTATTCCGAAGGGCCGGTTGAACATGAACTCGGCAGTTGGATGGCGTCATGTAGGTATCGGTGGTCCTGCGGGCCTGCTATGTCCGATCAGAAAGAAGCACGCGTGCTGATCTGAAGTCCGAGCGTATATTCACCAGATTCCATTACCATGAGCATTGAGCAGTGAGCGAGCACTGGTACTCGTTTTAAAAAAAAGATTCCAATCGAGTCGAGGATTCAGCGGGGCGTGTCCGCATTAGGACCGGGCCCGGGCGATTCAAACATCATCATATCATATCCCCAATCTATAAGGTCATATATGATGGCGACTGCCTCGAAGGCCAGCCTCAGCCGGATATAGGCTGAAACCGTGAAATAAACGTGCTTCTCTCGATACGGGCGTCACCTCTCGAATTTTACTAGTGAGGTTCTAAATGTTAACATTTAGATATAAGCCAAGTAACTCCATATGGGTAAATGCTATAACTCACTTAAATTATTCGAATGACTTGGGCCCTGCCATCCCCCTAAAAAGACATCCACTTCCCTCGACGCGAGGAAGAAATGACCTTTCTCAGCTACATATGTACTATACATTCGCTGAGCCCTAAAAGCGATCGCGACAAGTAAAAGACCTTGTGAATCGCCCGGTCCACCAACCCACCAGCTTCGTAGTGTCCCTCTGGAGTTCCACCGGGGATTTCAGAGGTGCACGAGTGATGTCGACCTTACTGTCCACCGATGCCCCCGTCCGCGAACCGTATAGGGCCGGCTGTCGAAACCATTCGGCACCGATTCATGGGCGGCCACGGAAGGAGCGTGTGTTGAAAACCGTCTCGGGAAGGAGAGAGGTTTCTGGAGCGTTTGGGAAGGAGAGACGTTTCTGGATTGTCTCGGGAAGGAGAGAGGTTTCTGGAGCGTTTGGGAAGGAGCGACGTTTCTGGAGCGTCTCGGGAAGGAGAGGGGTTTCTGGAGCGTCTCGGGAAGGAGAGAGGTTTCTGGAGCGTACCCCGTGACCACGCCATCTCGTTTGGCTCGGTGGCGTTAGGTCGGATGACGGAAGCGCTGCCCGGTGTAATGGGGGGGGGAGGGGGCGGAGGGAACCGACACCCGATACCGCTGATTGGTGATGGCGGGGAGGGGACGGGAAGCGTCTTCGACTGCTGGGGAGGATCAGCTGTAGTATAGTTCGCTTTTCACAGCTGTAGTATAGTTCGACTTCATTCAGTTAGTGACCCTCGTGTCATTGATTTCCCGATAGACATCCCATCGCTTTTATGGTGGATTCCCAGAAATGACGGCATTGGGTTTCGTTCGTCGGTAGTTTAATTTGAATTATTATGATACCTATAAGGACGATATATCTTTCAGTCGTAGGCGCAAAGCCTCCATCTGATATCAGACTATCGTTTGTGAAAATAAAACGCATGAGCTTCGTCTAATCCTTGGACAACGTTCCGTCAATGTCTTCCGTCAATGTCTTCGGTCAATGTCTATATGGAATGGAATGTATATACAGGGTCTTTCAAAATACCCTCTGCATAGATTGCCGTTCACATCATCCCTGTAGGTCATTTCACGGTTCATTGTGTTTGTTTCAGGTTGGCACGCTGCCGGAGTTCATGCAGAAGCGATTCGGCGGCTCCCGCATTCAGGTCTACTTGGCCATTCTATCACTCATTCTTTACATCTTTACGAAAATATCGGTGAGTCAGCGCATTGGGCGTTTACCGGTATTAAATCGGTGCTGTTTGCTCACTGTGGGACGGTCTTGTTTGTTTGGATACGGTGAGTTAGTGTTTGTGCGACAGTGCGATCATTTTGCGATTTATGTGGCGGCTTGCCCCTACCCAGGTTTGTGTGATAAAGATTTGTTCAATGATCTTAAAGCGGCAATCGAGCACCTACGTCTGTGGAGCCTCTTCAGATGACCGTTCTTTTTTCCGCGCTTGAAAATTATTGCGCGGAGACGGGAGGTGTATCATCAGAATCACATGGCATGACTGAGCCAGGTACCTGGATATACTTTGCTAGGAAGGACACCCCCCAAACAAGTAAAGGGCTCACTCAGATTCACTACCGCCCATTGACGGTGGCGAGAAGCCGTAGTAAAAAGCCTTTTGCACCGTCATCGATGAGTGTTGCTAGTCGTCCTTGCAGTGGGTGACTGACAGAATCTGTTATATTGTGATGATATGTGATGTTACGCAGAGGGTATTTCTGAATTGACTGAGAAAACACTCGACTCAAGGTTCACCAATGTCAGCGAGAGAAACAGGAATCACAGAACAAGGACGGTTGGGTTTTATCCGGTAACGTGCGAGACGTAATTTTATTCTATAGTTAGATACGCTTGTTTATACCATTGGCTGATAATGAATATATTAAATTGGCGTCGATAGAAGCAACTTCTCAATTTAAAACGTGTTTTTTATAATGACTCATCCCGGCGGTGTGTGATTCCGGTTGAAAAAAAAAATCCAATAAGCACAACCATGTTCAAATGCTCCCGCGCTTCTTGCCTTACCATTTTGTTCCGAAGTTACGACATTTCTGTCGGAATTTATTGATTTGATGTTACATAATTCGGCGACAGCTAGCGTATTCTCTCAGAACGTGTCCATCACTAATGAAGTACTAGGCGTGCTAGGATTTCAATAACGTTCCTGTTCCCTAGTGCCATCGAGCGAACTGGAGTTCATATATAATGCATTTGTTTTTGTCATTGGACGGCTGGCCGTCTGGTGCTGGACCTCCGGTAAAGCTGCAATCAATGCCGGCTCAGGCCTCGACTCGTGAAGTCGCATGTCTGCGTTGAGCTAAGCGACTTTTCCGTACGCACATGGCATTTGTAAATGGAACTGAAGGTAAATCGTTGCATACGGACGTGAGCAATGAGCATCAAAATTGTAAAGTAATCTTGATGAGCATATCCACAGGTGAGCATGCACTCTTCGTGTGAACCTGTACAAAGGGATCGTCAGTTCACCATTGAACCCTCCTCTCCTGATCGTCTATACACAGGCGAACTAATAATCTGCCTTCAAGTGAACCGGCTCACATAGCTTTGAGTGAACCCGTACTATGTAACTCCTGTGCACAGGACGTGATTTTTTAAAGCAAATTAATCGTCTTTTCGCAGGTGAACCTGTACTCGGGCGCCATATTCATCCAGCAGGCGCTGCGCTGGTCGCTCTGGTGGTCCGTCATCGGCATCCTGCTGGTGACGGTGGTGACCACGGTACTCGGCGGTCTGGCGGCCGTCATCTACACCGACACCCTGCAGTTCTTCATCATGATCCTCGGATCGCTGGCCGTCATGGGAAAAGGTACCGATGATGATGCCGCCAGACAGGCTGGGGTTAGATGGGTAGCTGTCTTTTGTGGGAGTCCAGGGGGTAAACAGTAGGGATCCTCCACTGGAGGTCCTCCCCAGTCCCGTGTCGAACGATTAATCATTCAGCAATAACCGGTGCACGATAATGCGGCGATATATGCGCACTATCAGTCCATGGAGTTGTTCGATGTGTATTCACTTTAGCAGCGAAGCATTTTATGTGCACACGTTTAGGTTGACAAACATGAACCTGTCACCCTTTAATCGTTTTAGTATCGTTTAATATCCTAAATATAATATTTGGCCGTGTCGAATGGGTCGTTTCGCCTTTAGTGATGCTGGCTAATTAACTTAATCTGGACAATCAGGAGCGCAACGTCTTTAAACGTGCTATTATAATTTATATGGCGTATATGAATCCGATCACGGTGTTAAATGCATCTCGTAAAGCCTACACTGACGAATGAATCATCGATCTCCGGGCCCCGACTGGGTAGTTGTATAAACTTCCGGCGCCGATCCGGCGCCAATTTCATGTCGCTGTTGGCGGTAACTAACCGAGGAAGGTAACCCGCTCAGACCCCTCCCGTCTCGGCTGTTCCCTCGAAATGTTCGGTGTTGTCCGTTGCCGAACAGAACCTAGGGGAAGCGGGGGTAACACCGCCCCCCTAAGCTTTTCGCCAAAATGAGAGAATATGTGTGTAGTCTCTTGGTAGTTATTGTCTTGGTTACAATATTTAAACATTTTCTCACGTGTTTTAGGTACTAATTTTGCATGCTCCTAAAAGGTTTTCATGTATCACGACTTTTAAAAATACCTTGCATATTTGCCACCTACAAATTGTGTGGGTAACCCCGCCACCGGTGTTGATGTTAACCCAACCCATCCCTACGAAAGCTTTTCATTGTTCAGAGATCGCGTGCGATGAGTTTCCTGTCGGTAAGTGGTAATTTTCGCAAATAATCGGTAATGGACACATAAATAGGTATAGGTTCATCAGCTGTTTGCCAGTTTTATACAGCTGGCAAGTGCTTGGTCGGGATGCATGGAAAATATAAAGTAAAAAAATCAAATAAGCTGCTTATTCCCGACTTAGGAACATCTACGAACATAAATAAAGCATGTCTTTGGAGTTTCATCACTTACCACGCTGCGAACAGGAAACACCGCAACCTCAATTGGGGGAACACCGCCACGGGGTGGCGGTGTTCCCCAATAAGTGATCACAAGCAAAAATCGCCAGCGGCAAGAATGTACTACACGGTTCAAGCAAACCTATCTTACTGGACAAAGCCGATCAGTTATTTTTCGACGTAATCAAGTACCTAAATCAAAATGAGTCTTTACTTAAAGACATTCAAAAGTGCTCCCAACTCATCGAATTTTTATAAGAGAATGTGCATTTTTCTTTAAATGCCCACATTGAGCTTCGATTACACTGAAACACCGGAACACAAATCAGAAGACGCTTACCTTCGTGCGGTTAATAGGAAATAACGGATTTTCACACTTTATAGTTCATACTTTCGCCGCCAGATGGGGTGGCGGTGTTTCCCACAGTGGCGGTGTTCCCCCCGCTTCCCCTAATTATCCGGTTTTCCCAGTCTGATCATGGCATGACATGCCAGTGCTTCGTATCGTGCTGGTTATATTCCGTCTTTTCTCTCTTCCTCGCCCTCCCCCTTATGCCCCATGCCTCCCCCTTCGTCAATCCCGTGTGACCGCTGACCACCCCGTTCCGTCTTGTTACAGCGTTCTACCTGGTGGGCGGCTACTCTGAGCTGCAGGAGCGGTACATCCAGGCGATCCCCTCTGTCACCATACCCAACACCACGTGTGGGGTACCGGCAACGGTACGTACTTATGGAGAGTGGAAGGGCGTACCGCGAGGGCTGGGCGCTACACGTGTGTGCGGTGTGCTCTGTAAACTTTGATTGAGATGACAGTTGGTTATTGTCCCTCTCCCTTCAAGAGAAGGTCAAGTGTACGCACGAGGGGCGTTTTCATGGACTTACCGAGAATAATCTGGTGAAAGCTGGATTTTTCCTCGAGTTCTGCTTACCAGGATGTTTACGTTTCAGTCATGGCGTGAGAGCTATGAGCGTAGCGTGTTTGAACAGCGATATCAGATAACACTGCCCGAGATCACGACTTTTTGCACTAGTCCGGTAATCGATGCTTCCCTGACTCAATTGGTTCCAGCTCACAAGTCGCAGCTTCCATTGCCCTGATACCTTCAGTCGTGCCATCCTTTACCCTTTCCGCCGCCCAGCCCTGGGTTCCCGAGCTCCCCACATCCGGTCGTTGGTCGTGCGTTACATTTCTGTTGGTGGCACGGTCTGCCGGTCGTATACCGCCGAACCACGACGGGATATGTCCGTGACAGCTGCAGACGTCTGCAGCCTGCCCTCTCGGGAGTTTGGAACTTCACAGGGTTATTTGATACGCTGGCCATTGATCTCTGGGCGTGTTCGAAAGTGTCCGGCTTAGTAAACGCGACCAGATGCCCCGGTCCATTGTACCTATTTGAGGCCATATGCCGGTCCATTGTAGCGATATACCGTTTGCTATAACGCGATGTTGATTGTATAACTGCAGACCGTTCTATTTCACAGGACTCTTGGATAATGCTGCGCGACCCTCTAAACTCGGACATGCCGTGGCCTGGCTTCATTCTGGGCCAGACGCCGGCCTCCATTTGGTACTGGTGTGCTGATCAGGTGAGACGCTTCCTCCTGAGACTTTGACGACTATTGTATGGGGAAATAGTCTAATGGCTGTTCAATTACGTTCAAAGCAAACATCAAGAATCGCTGTTGTGGGTTTATGTCTTTATGAGTGATGGTTCGT